GTATGCCGACTTATTACTCAAATTGTGTTTCATCTTTCATGTCATCTTTATCACTAACATCGATGGGGGTCCATTAGCACAAGCTCCTAGGCAGCCGTTACAGATAAAGACTACACTTAATGCCCACTTTTCGGCAACTGCGTGCAACCTGTGCAACCTGTGCCCAAAAAAGGCAGCCGTGCTGACCCTGCCAATTATAGAAATCAAAATCAAAATCAAAATAATTTTTTTCATGATTCACAGGTACATACATCAGTTCTTACATAATGAAATATTTTAAGCTCTACTGTGATCCACCTTTCGGTATATGAAAATTATTAACATGTCATAAACAATGTTGATCATTACAAAATATATTTACCATTTATCCAATTAATTATTCACAATGTCAAAACAATTTACTAACTATTATTTATCATCATTACAATCAATATCTATAATTTACAATGTCAAAACAATTTACAAACTATTATTTATCATCATTCAATCATTATCTATTATTTATAATTTACAATGCCAAACAATTTAAAAACTATTATTTATCATTATTACAATCATTATTAGCCAGCAGCAAACCAGACTAGGTATAACGCCCACTAGTTTCTTCGAAATATTCTTTCATTGTATAAAACGCTTTGTCAACTAAATACCTGAACAGTTTCACCTTAAATTCTGTAAATTCAGTACAATGCAATAAATGTAAGGGAAGACTATTATAAACTTTTGTAGCCATTCCTAAAACGCTTTTTTTAAAGGTTTCTGTTTTACATGGACGTGTGCGTAGTTTTGCTTTATGACGTACATTTTGAACATGCGCAAAGGCATCTGGCTTTCGTTTTACAAAGAGCACAATTTCATAAATATACATTGAGGTAAATGTCAATAACTGAAGTTTACGAAAATAAGGCTTACAACTATCCGAGGTCTTTAGAGAGCACATAGACCTAATACACTTTTTTTGGGCTAAAAGTACAAGATCTGCATTAGTAGCATTTCCCCAGAATATGATGCCATATCGCAATCTAGATGCAACAAGACCATGATAAGCGGTTAGTACCGCTTTCTGGTTAACTATTTTAGCCAATATGCGTAAAGCATATGAACACTGATTTAGTTTTTTACAGACATCATCTATGTGGGACTGCCATCTCATATCACTATCAATGTGTATTCCTAAAAACTTAGTTGTTTGGGGTTTGCCTAAACTTTCACCTTCACAGGTTATGTTGATATCGACCAATGTCTGTTTTCTGAGCTGAAAGTTCATAATCTTTGTTTTATCGATATTGATTTTTAAATTATTATTACTAAGCCATGTCATTATTGATTTTAAGCTATCATTTATTTCATTTTTATTATTATATATTACTGTGCAGTCGTCTGCAAACAAAATCAGTGGATTGTTTATTGCCTCAGGCATATCGTTTATATAAATAAGAAATAAAAGAGGTCCAAGGACGCTCCCTTGAGGTACTCCGTTCACTAACAGTCTTTCAGTTGATGCAAATACCTCTTCGTGTTTTGTTCTAATATTTATTCTATTTATTTGTGTAATTTGTCTCCTATCATTTAGGTAGGATTTTATTAGGTTTAAAGCGTTACCTCTAACCCCATATGTCTCCATTTTTGATAAAAGTATTTCATGCACAACACAGTCAAACGCCTTGGACATATCCAAGTACATTGCTAGAACAGGTTGCTTTTTGTCCAGTCTAATATATATCATTTCTAAAAATTCATAGATAGCTAAGTCGATCGATCTGCTTTTGCGAAACCCTTTCTGTTCATGAACTAAAATATTATTCGATTTAAAATAATAGTATAATCTTTTGTATATAACCTTCTCATATATTTTTGATATCACCGGTATCAAGGCCACAGGTCTATAATTTTTTATTTCCCTTTTATAATTTTTCTTATATAGGGGTTTTATTATTGTTGTTTTTAATTTAGATGGAAATACACCGTCCTCCAAACTTAAGTTTATAATATGACTCAAGACTGGAGATATTGAGATGCATACAGATTTTAAAACTTTGGTAGGTATATCGTCAAATCCTGTGCTATTCGTATTTTTAAGGGACTTTATGATGGTTGTTATTTCTTGAGGATCGGTTGGACTAAGAAATAGCGAGTTGTAATTATTATTGATACATTTATGCTTAGCAGATTGCTTTTGAGTTGGCGCTTGATCTATAAAGTAGACCTCTAAACTCTGCAAGACTATGGAGCGTGTACTAAACAATCGGCTCCTGGCTTACCTCGAGAGCAACATTGATCTCCTTAACGACCGTCAATATGGCATCCGCCGCCGGCGGTCGACAGGGACCTCCTCGTGCATGCCACCCACTCATGGAGCGAGGCTATCGAGAGGCACGGCGAAGTCCTCGCCTGGGTATCTCTGGATGTCTCAAAGACATTTGACAGGGTCTGGCACGCATGTCTTAGTAACAAGCTTCCCGCCTACGGGCTACCTGCTGGACTTTGCAACTGGATAGCAGATTTCTTGAGTGGACAGTCAATACGAGTGGTCCCAGAAGGACGCTCTTCAGATGAACAGGCTATTGATGCCGGCGTCCCTCAAGGGTCTGTACTTTCCGCAACCCTATTCCTGCTGCACATCAATGATATGCTCACGCCCGACACCTTTTGGTATGCAGATGACAGCACGGTTGTTGATAGGTACCTGTCCAGTGCAAAGGCCAGCAATGAATCTACTCAGTATTGTCGAGAGGCCCTAGTGAGTCGCCTAAACTTGAATCTTGAAGCAATATCCGATTGGGGTGATGCAAATCTTGTCAAGTTTAATGCATCTAAAACACAGGCATGTCTATTCTCCACTGAACGGAGTCCCTTCGACCTGACTCCCACTTTCCGAGGTGTATCCGTACCGATTTCTGACCATCTTGAGCTTTTTGGCATGAACCTTTCATCTGACCTGAACTTTAAACAATATATTGAGTCTTTGGCCACGACTGCAGCAAAAAGATTCGGAATTCTCTCAAAGGTCATGCGATACTTCACACCAGTACAGCTTTTACTATACCAAGCTCAAGTCCGTTTCTGCATGGAGTATTGCTGTCACCTATGGGACGCATCTGCCAAATACCAGCCGGCAGCCCTGGACTCGATTGAGAAGCGCGCCAAGAAACTCATCGCTGATAGGGCACTTACTGACGCAAAGTCGCAGAGCCTCGAACAACGTCGCAAGGTAGCTTCCTTGTCGGTATTCTACAGGATACATTTCGGGGAGTGTGCACAGTCTCTCCATGACCTGATACCTCCGTCACCATTCCATCTCCGGTGCACGAGACGCCGGTTGGGATTCCACCCTTATATCGTAGACATCCTGCAAATTCGCACAAAGCGCTTCGCTTCTACATTTTTAGCAAGTAAGAATAGTTTTTTAGCATGTCACAATTTGGTTTATTTAGATCCCTATAAATGTAGCCAAAAGTATTTTTTCAAGTATTTTTTAATATCTTGTTTGTATTTATTACAGACCTTGGTCAAGTTTATAAACAACCCCGTTTTAGAATTTATGAAAGCCAATTTTAACTTAATTATCCACCAATAGATTGTCGCCTTAGAAGAAATTCAATTGCCACAAAAGAAAATCACAGCCAGATAAAATTTAAATAAAACCCCAAAACTCATTAAAAAGTCGCCGCTTTCTAGTTAAGATGCTACCTCAAATTAGTCGCCAAAGTAGTCTATTTAATATCCATTTTCAGTTTTTTAAGACCCGCAATGGTATCAATTTGTCGCCGCGTTAAATACATGCCTTTGTAAAACTATGTTGTTTCTTATTTTTTTACCTTTAATACTCTGTATCTCCTAAAGTATTGATCGTACAGTAAAAATGTAGAAGTCACTTAAATTTTCTATAAATAACATCCAAACATTTTTACTGTACGATCAATACTTTAGGAGATACAGAGTATTAAAGGTAAAAAAATAAGAAACAACATAGTTTTACAAAGGCTTTTTAGGGTTTAGTTTTCAAGGTTTTTGCTTGTAACTCGAAAATCATTCATAATATCTGTATATTATGAATGATTTTCGAGTTACAAGCAAAAACCTTGAAAAAGAGACCTTTCCCCCCCTCCCCCACCGCCGGCTCTTGTCCCTCCCTCGGGGGCTTTTAGTATATTAATCTAGACATCTTTAGGAATAACTGTAGCAACTTTCAAAACTACACGAATTATTCGATCTGAATAAATTAATTTTCCCATACTATAAGGTACGCAGTTACTTCTTTAAACGAAACCAAAACAAATCACTAATTTGCCTCGCAATCAAACTCTGTCCATGTCGAACCAGCCTAATGAAGACAAATACCTCATAATAGCACTTAATGGTCCGTCAGTCCGTCCGTCTGTCGCATCGGGCCGCTTTGTCCTGTTTTGTGTCTATTTTTTTTCTGATGAACTGCTAGGACCTACTACAAAAAAATTACTCTCGTTGAACATTTAAATACGCGTTCAATGTACGTCAAACTTTTTTACGGTAGACCCATAAGGTACGCAGTTATCTACTTCTTTAAACGAAACCAAAACAAATCACTAATTTGCCTCGCAATCAAACTCTGTCCGTGTCCAACCAACCTAATGAAGACAAATACCTAATAATAGCACTTAATGGTCCGTCAGTCCGTCCGTCTGTCGCATCGGGCTGCTTTGTCCTGGCTGATCAAATATTTACCTTCACTTGCTTGGGGTAGTTTCCGGTTCCGGTATAGTTCGCGGAAACGATTGGTCGGGAATATTTTATTAATTCATGGTAAACAAATTAGAAGTCAACTTGTCTATTTTACCTTATGTTTGGTCTAGGCTAGGTTATATTATTTCTTTCAGTAAAGTGTCTCTGAAAAAAATATCAAGTACTGTCTTCGGCACTACGAGTATGCTAAATACACGATCATCCTATCACAAAGGTAGCAGTTCAATTAACTTTTTGGTTACAAAGTTAATACAAACGAAGCAAGCGGAAAAAATTCACGCCACCGATGGGATTCTAAACCACGTCTTCTGACAAGACGGGTCAGACGTGTTGACCGCTACACCACGGAGGCTCTAACCCAGGTGGCAAAATTGTGATCCACTTGCCTCGTTCAAGTCTGTTGCTGTGTACTATAGCTAGTACCTATTTTAAAAGCTATTGTAGGTATTCCATCAAATCATAAATGTTTTAGCTTAATCACCCAGTATCAAAGCGGTCAGCTATATTTCCAGTTTATTTTTCACCATCATGCAATTTGCGGATAAAATTTTATGTAATAGAGTTGGCGTGGTCATACGTAGTGCAGCTTAAAAGCTATTTTATAAAAATAACTACGAGCTAGGCGATGTACTTGTCCCTAAAAATTACGCGTAGTTTATTCTGCAGTGTCATCATTATAAGTCCTTTAGGATACGATTAAGTTACGCCTGGGTTTAATGAGGCCTTTTTTGACAGCTATTATAAAAAAAAATGTACTTAGCACTTAGTAAAATCATTAGTAGGTGGCGCTAGCAACGAATGCACGCAAACGCTCGCAACGTCTTTAACAAAACTAGCGTTCCAATAATAGTGTGGTCTATGAAATTTTGAAAATACATATTTTTTCCTAACTACTAAAACGTCTTTCCTTGCTCGTAAAACTCACTTACCTACTGATTTGATTGTCATGCATGAACTAAATAATCGTTGTCAAAAAAGCCAGTGCAAGTCATTCAGCGCCATCTATCAATGATTTTACGTACTACTTAGTATTAATTTTTGCTTTTACTTAGTATTAATTTTTGCTTTTTAATAGCTATCAGAAAAGGCCTCATTCGAAAGACCTAATAATAATTGTGTATTTTCTCTTTGTGTTTTGTGTGTTTCATACAAAATAATTATTCATATAACTGCAACTCTATATAGGGTTATTTTTAAGTCAGTGCGCAAATGCAATCTAAAAAAAAATTTGGTCGTTCCATACATTTTTGCCGAGTAGGTATGAATTTTTCTATGGAACATCCAAATTTTTTTTTGTGAATTCGCAGGTGGTCCCATAATAAAAGTTGTTCAGAATCACGAGTAGAAACACCCTCCAATATTTGCGCACTGACTAAGAAATAACCCAGTATACCTACCTACCTATCTACTTTCACAGCCATTCCAAACGTTCGGTACATTCCCATTCCGAGCCAATCCGAGCAAATGAAGAGGCATGCTCGACCATCTCACATTCGCATCGGCGCACTCACGAGGGTCCGAACAGAAACGGATACATCTGTCGAGGGCCCTTCATACAATATACTCTGTACAATGGTCATCTGGTTCAGTATTGGCTGAAATATGGGTTCTATAGGTACTGTAGTTGAATGAAAGTTGTTTCATCGTGAAATGTATCCCACCCATTTAAGGGATCTAGGTATATTGGTTACTCTTACTAAAGATATATAGAACCAGTTTATGTTGGCCTCTTAAGTAGGTAGGTAGAATGAAGAGCAATGGTCGACCATCTCACATTCGCATCGGCGCACTCACGAGGGTCCGAACAGAAACGGATACATCTGTCGAGGACCCTTCATACAATATACTCTGTACAATGGTCATCTGGTTCAGTATGAGCTGTTTGAATCATACAACCAGTTGAATAAAATCTTTTGTGTATTAAATTGTATTTTTTTTGTAAGAATAAAGAATGAAAACAAGCAGATGAATTAATAAATAAAAGCTTTTTCATAGCCAAAAATTACATAATTATAGTTTTAGAGATTTTCCATCGCCTACCACAATTACCAGGCCATGGTTGTATAACGTCCGCCGTCTATGTGATTAAAGACAGCAGCCCCCTTCGCGCACTTTCGTAACCAGTCTTTCGTAACTAAGTAGCTACGAAAAAACATTTTTTAATCACTGTTCCGTAACTGGTTATGAATAATTTTATTATTAAACGAACAAGTATCACTCATTATACTATATTTACGCGACTTACACATGTTACGTCGTAACTTAAACATGTTAGAGAGGTGCTAGAATTCAATGGGTACAAGTGGAACCAGAGTTGGCGTATCGCAAACTCATCGAATAAAAAGAGGCCGCAAACTGTAGAACGACGTCCAACGTATCTTCCGTACATAAAAGGAGTGACGGATAAAATTGCCTTCTTACTGCGACGGAAATACAACATAAAGACTATTTTCCGACCCCACACGCAAGTGAAACACTGGCTGAGATCACCAAAGGATAAGGAGCCCCTATCCGGAGCAGGTGTTTACTCTATACCTTGTGAGTGTGGTAAGAGCTATATCGGAGAAACACAGCGGCACGTCTCTACAAGAATCACAGAGCATATACGTAGCGTTAAGAACTGTAACACGGTGACGTCGGCAGTAGCTGAACACTCACTGGATACGGACACTAACCATTATATTCGGTTCGACAAGACAGCTATTCTGGCTAGGGAAAAGTTCTACGTGCCCCGCAAAGTTCGTGAAGCCATTGAAATAAGCCGTCGTCCGAATTTTAATAGAGATAGTGGTTGGTCGATATCGCCGTCATGGAAGCCAGTGCTAAAAACAGTATTACCGGTGTCAGTGGACAAAATAAGAAGTGACGATATAGTTAGCGTAGTTTGTTCGGGACTTTTCGATGACTCTACAACCACAAACCAACCGCAACCACCACAAGAGCCACCAATTGCGGCTACTGCAGCGCCCCTACCATCTCAGCGCGCGCAGCGAGCCGCGGCGCGTGCCAGTCGACAATTGCAACTGGCGGTCGCGCGTGTGTAATTGTCGTCCTCCAAGAAGAAGGCTGTCTTAACCAGCCGAAACGTAGAGGGCTACACCTTCTACCAAATATTAAAACAAGTAAGTCGCGTAAATATAGTATAATGGTTATGAATAAACACTATTTTTCAAAATTTTATCTATACTACCGACTGACGGCTTAAAGTGCCTCCGAAACATGGAACCTTACTTTTTTTTCGAATAATCAAGTTATCTACTTGTGATATTAATGATACCTTCTTACCTGCTTATCACCTACCTTGAGACGTTCTTTGCTAGACATCGGCTTCCATACAAGATCCAAAATAGTCGATCCACCTGTACGGTTAGCAAGCGCCCTGTAGAGAGACTTGTCTCGCGCGCGAGAACACAAAGATAAGGAGTAGACAAAGATGTATCAAATCGAATAGAATTTAATTAAACAAGTGAAGATTTTTACATAAGGTTGTAGAGAAAATCTATGTCGCGGGTCACATGCTAGCTATACTGGTGGAAAAGCTTTGTAAGACGTTTGGTCATTAATATTCTCAGCCACGAATCAGCCATTTCAAGAGATTAAACATACACCTAGCTAAAATCCAGCATAGATTAATCATTTATAGGTATTTTGAAGTGCTTCGGTCCGCACCTTGAAATACGATAGTCGGAGTGAGTACGCTTATAAATAAGCATCTACCAATACCGGATATGCTTGCAATACATTAAATATTGCTAGTTGCGCTACGTAGCTTCCCGAGCTGTAAGGAAGGATAATAAAATTGAAATATCCTCGGATATGGCTGTAGGAGTATTGGCTAGAAGCTATCGGCTGACCATTTGTAAAAGGATCGACCGTTGGTAAAATGTTTTTGAGTTAGTGGAAGAAAGTTTCATCCGATTGAGAAAAGATCTAAGTACCTACTTGTGGAAGGTAGGTAACTTACGAGTATGTTGAAAGCAAAATCTGCGAATTTCTGATAAGACTTCTACGAGACTTTTAGGAAAACACTTTGTTAAACGTTCAAAAGTTAAGAAGTCGTAGATTTTTAGTGTATCTTCTAGCTACGGCACAACCACTTTTAAATAAATTGAGTAGTTCTGCTTTTTGCTTTCTTGTTATTATTTTGGAAACAAAAAAGGCAGACTGCACATTTCTTTCTCTCTTTCTTTACCATTATCCAAGTTTATCTACTTTTTTATTCGTTGTTGGAACTTTGAATGGTATCCTAGCCAGCCAAGCCCTACCCACTATTCGACTATGAAACAGTGTTCGATAAATTAAACGTTGGACAACAGCGCTGTAAATCAGCCCCTTAATGAACCATTAGGCTGAAATTAGCGAAATAACATGACAGGGTTGCGTACGTTGGAACACATTGTAGGCCTGGTAGGTAATGGTGCTGATTCTACCACACAAAAGCCTTATCCAATTTTAGCATACATACACCACGCCTATATCCCTTGCGGGGTAGACAGAGCGTAAAAGGTTGTAAAAACGGCTATTTACACCACGTCTGACAAAAGTTGAGTCATTCAGAAAACTATGTTTCAGCATAGAGACAGTTTGTCAGCCTGTCGCCTAAAATTGCAATATACATTAATTTTGAAATTCCTTAGTCGCTTTTTACGACACCCACGGGAAAGATATGGGGTGATGCCACAGCGATTTTTATCAGAGGCTAACAAATGGTAGCGAGTGGTAGAGACCTCTGACACTAGGATTCATGGGTTTGATTATCGTCTTTGTGTCTCACATTGCACGAAAAGATGAATAACTTTCAAACACATAACAACTCAATTTTTAGAAATTTTGTAAAATTATCTACCGCAGGAAAGATTTGAGTCTGCTACTTTCGCTATCAGTTTTAGCAATGCCTCAACTTTAAGCATACTATCTTGGGATGAGCCGCGGTAGCCCAGTTGTTTAGAGGCGTCGCTAGTTATTTCAAATCCTACCTACGGTAGAAAAAATTAAAAGTTTTTTAAACACCCGAACATGGAAAACGTTTATAAATTTGACAACATAATATTTATGAATGAACTATGGAAAATGTTGTCAGAATCGAGGAATATAGGCGCATGTAGTGGGATACTAACTAGGAGCTATTGGATGTGCCAAGTTGTCTAGGACCATTGAGCGGTGTAGATACAGCTCTGGGTCGTACCTATGTATTGTTATCTAGGTATGTGAATTTACCTATATTATCTACCGAGTAACTACAACCTATCTACCTATGTGTAAGTATATTTGTATTGTTCCTATTAAATACAATTCGAGCAAATATTAATAAAATAAGCTTGGAAAAAAGAAGAGAAAGCCTAATAAAATTTC